CGTTTAAAACACTGTATAGGACAGACTAATTGACCTGTTAGCTGCTGCAGGCAAACGCTGCTATATGAGCCCATCATGGCCATTATGCTTTCCCCCAGGTACATCGCCATGGTGGTAATCCCATTGCGCATGCATCATTACCTTCAATAGCATAAGGCTGCTTTTCTTTACAGCCACCGATTTAATTAAATTTGGTTGTAAATATTTAATGCACACCTACCCTACATTTGAACGTAAAGAGCAACGCATCAGGCGTCATGACTGATAACTGCTCAGGAGGAGGAAGAGGAGGAGGAGGGAGGCTCCCTGTTAGCAGCCTGTCATTAACAGGACTCTTACAGTATCGCATCAACTGGTGCCTTTTTTCTTCCACACTTTTTTTTCTTCATCACTCCAGAGTTACTTTTAGTAAATGAAAGGCATTCAGCTCCTCAGTTATCATATTAAATATCCTACAGGTGACCTTTAGTTGAAAATATATAATCATATGTTAAGGATGCCAGCTGTTAATTCCATGTGTCCTCTTTATTGCTTATGACGGGAAATCAGTAATGAGAGATTCAGACCTTTTCATTGACCATATCCTTAAATTTCATCTATTTAGGCTATATTAAAAATTATATTTGTTTTCAGCCTCACGCAGATCATTGGATCTCAGATTAACACAGACGGAAAATTTGAACTGGGAAAAAAAAATTAAATCTAAAATAGGCCTAAATTATTATTCCTGACCTTCCTCATCCTCATCATGTAGATTTTCCTGGATTTACCAGGCTCCGTGCATTACTGACAGCTCCGCCACTAGCCAAGGACACACAGGATGACCACAGCGCCTCTGAATTGAGCCTGAATTGCCCTAATACGGGGAAGACTTTTATTACAAGCATAATCCCACAAATACGACCTCAAATGACGTTTTTTGCGAGGTTGTGGACGATTTGCAGGTATTGTTTCAGTGGTGGTCTGGAATCAAATGTAGTCATAAAGCCTAAATCTTTGCCTGCTGATGTAATAAGTAGATCAAATCAGAAGTGGAAACAGAATAGACCTTCATTACCAAGGAAACCATTGATATATGAATACATACATATATATACCCGATTTATCCTCTTTGTTTTATGCAGACAAAAGTTCTGGTTATTTTACATGCATTATGCATATTTTACATTACTTGTACTGTCCTGTCAAGCTGAATATGTAGACTGTAGAATAGTGCGTCAAAATCAATATCCCAACAGCAATTAGTTTACACAGCACCCTCGTGTCGTTCGCTCTATTAAAAAGTTTGAAATGTGAGGATCAAAAAGTTTTGCAGAGCGTCAGCAAGCATCATGGACAACAGTGATCATCTTATTACCGCTGTCTGTAGGAGAGTCACAGAGATAGCCCATAACGAGGGGGACTATGGGCAAAACAGGCAAATCAAAGGAACTTTGATGGACCATGTGAATTTCTCCACCGGGTTTGATCCTACAAATGACCTTTTAATTAACACAATGTTAAGTTAGCGCAGCAGCTCGCTACACAGGGGACAAAGCAGCATTCATCCTATGTCCCTGCCTCATTGCTCGGCCCGAACAGTAACAAAGTGTTTGATGCCACTTCTGATTAGATGCTGACAATGGAGAGATGATGTCCCCCTTTCTTCCACAACTTGTGGATTTCACTCACGTCCTCCTCTGAATTATGACCTTCCATCAGCGCTGCGGCTCCGTGCGTCGAGTCAGGATGATCAACTTTGATCAAATGCACATCCGCAAATGTTTTAATTGGCCGATCGGACGTTAGTTAGTGCCTATAAATAACCAGCACACAGGAAACCAAAGCTCTTGGAAAAAATGTATTCTTAGAAAAAAATGTCATGAATGGCAAAAACACAGAAGAAGCTCACATTTGAACACAATGACAAAACCCTCCAGGTCCACGCGCAACAGGAGGGGGGGAGGGAGGGGGGAGAAAGAGTGGGGGGATCCAGTCCTTTTTATAGTCAACTTTATGCTCGACAAGCTTTTCTCTTTTACATCAGGCAAAATGACACGAAGCCACAGTAAAACGCAACATTTAACAAAATACTTAAAGGGGGGGGGTGTACGAATTGAACCAATGGACACATTCAATAATAAACCAACAGACAACATAACCAAATAATAAATACACAGAGAAATAAATAAGTTTGCTACACTACACGATTGCCATACACAAATTTGTGGCCGTTTCATTTGGCCATTCTTGCTCCTTTGCATCTAGAATTTTTGCATAAAGTCTTTACCACCATAAAAACAAAGTTGTGCAAAATGATAGCCACATCCACAGTTTGACAGCTCTCACTGCTGCAGCGCCAGGTAGCTCCCATGTGTCATACTGAGGCCAGTGCGTCCTTTAGTGCATAATAAATGTCCCATTATTTATTGTGGTTCAGTTTCCTTCAGCAATCTAGGAGAGAAAAAAGACAGCAGGAATTAAAATAAGTTCCCAAAATGAGAAGGAATAAACAGTCTTTATTATAAAATATTTAATTTCAAAAAAGGTTTGTTAGATTAGTTGTTTGCTATAGAAATGTTAATATTTTGTCTCATATTTTGATGGTTATTACAAATTACTTTTGACATCATGGATTTTAAGGATTTAAGCAATCATTATATTTATATAAAGAAAAAATACAATTTAGCAACAGATATTTAACAAGCAGTGAGTGAACGAGTGTATCCTCGTTCACCTGTGAGAGTTTGATGGTGTTGTTGTGCGCACGTTGTGTGTGTGTGGGTGCGTGTGTCGTGACTTCACTGGTTTCTTCCAGTTCAGTGCAGACTCTCACCTGCTTCACCTCTTCATCACCGGTCTGAACGCAGTGACCTTGTCATCCTGCACGGTCCCACAGGCTTCGCTGAGGTCAGATGGCTGTGTCTCTGCTTTGCCGGCAGAGAATCCTACACACCCAAATAAAAGCAAATCTAAGAAACTTGCTTCAGATGCAAGTTGGCAGAAAGTGTCTCGCCTCTTCATAACCGTAGAAATGAGATTTTCTATATCCGACAACGTGTGGAAATTTTTTAAAAAGGTATCTGGCAGTGCTTGTGTGCCTTAATGTACCAGACAATGGAAATCACAGTATACCTGTTTGTCTAGAAAACCCATACATATGAGAGATTTGAGACCAATTTTATCTCTTGTAATAGGTAAAAGATGACATACCTTCAATAGTGGAGTACTGACACGTGTCTGGGAGTGCAGCATAAGATGAACAGTGTAGTTGGAGGTCCTTGTGACTGTAGCTGCCAGTGCCATAGACTTTTGAGTGCAAGGATGAGCCCTCAGGGAAGGGGCTCTCTGTATTGGTGGCACTGCTAGATTCATGAAGGCCTCTCATGCCCCCACACTGTCCACTAGGAGCCCCGGTAAGCCTGGTGCTCTGGAGCTGGCAGTCCCCGCTTGAGTTGCCTGTCCTCAGCTCTGAGCCATGCTGCTGAGGGCTCAGTATGACCCCCGAAGCTGCCGTACGAGCCAGAGACCAAATCCGAGGCTTATCTGATGCTTCAAAGTGAGACAGAGATACTGTCCCTGTGAGGCTGGTTGAGGAGGGTCCCTTGGACACCACAGGGTCTAGGAAGTCGGACGGGAGAGGCGGGAGGGTGGCAACACTTTTGATGGCGCAGGGAAACGCGTGGAAGCTGTTAGTTAAACTCAGGTGCAGCTCGGAGCTGCAATCTCTCTTCTGAGGGGCTCCGGATACTGCCATGACCCTCTGGAGGTCTTGCTCATCTGCAGCCACTTTTTCACAGTCACTGTCCAGCTTGTCACAGTCGTCCTCATCCATGTCCTCCAGATCACTTAGATGCAGATCCTTCTCCTCCTTGCAATTACTGGAATCTGCATGAAAGAGAGGAGATTTTTAGGTATCACTGCTTGAAAAGTTGCCTATTGTAAATATATATAGAGACTTAGTTTGTTCAGAAAACCTTTAAATACACTTTTTACCCTGGAAACCACTTTGTTACCTTTTTAGTCTGCAACATATTTGCCTAAATTTAGTGTAAGTAACTATATATTTAGTTTAACAATGATTAAGTAAGTAGTTTAACTTTTTTTTTTTAAAGTCACATGATTACCTTTGGTGGCACAGTCTTGGTCGCTCTTGCTAAGGTCGTCCTTCCTGTCATCGCTGGCCTTATTCTTTGGTGACCAGGTCATCTTGTTCTCCTTCTTTAGCCTCCTCCTGGCGTTGGCGAACCAGGTGGACACTTGGGTGAGGGTCATTTTGGTGATGATGGCCAGCATGATCTTCTCTCCCTTGGTGGGGTAGGGGTTCTTGCGGTGCTCATACAACCATGTTTTCAGGGTGCTGGTGGTTTCACGAGTTGCGTTCTTTCTTCGGGCCGTGCCATTAAAGTCTACTGTCCCGTATCTGGAAAGGAGAAACACACAAATTCACATACACACACAGACAGCAGCCATTAGTGCCTACTACTACTACTACTACTCCCTGCTGTTTGAAATGTATACAGCTTTGCTCAATGCAGGTATCAGTATGTCGTTACACTCTGACCTTTGATCTGAATGCAGCATGTCGCCCCCGTGAATGGCTGCTTTTAAAGATCAGTGGCAGGTCTGCTAATGTTCATACTACATATAGTGGACAAAAAGAATGTAGAAGTTACCTGTCATATTGATACTGTCCCAGTGAATGGTCATAAGGATAGTATGCAGCGGTTTGAGTGATGCCAGAGTGTAAAGTGCTTGTGCTGTCCTTAATGTCATACTGTGGATTCTGTAAAAGACAATGAAGTTGGTATAAGTCAAAACATTCATTATTTCTCAGCATGCTGATGATTTTGCTGATGATCTCATTTATAAATTGAAGACATTTCATATTTTTATGCTTTCAAACTACTAATAACTAACCAAGAGTGATTTAAGCTAGATAATAACACCCACACACACCATCAATATGTCTTTTTTAAATGTATTTAACAGGTTTAAAGTAAAATATGCTATACATTATCCTAGAATTGCAATTATTATTATTATACAATTTTATTGTTTTTTTTAATTTCTTTACTGTTTTTATGTACAATGTGTAATATAAATTTTAGCTGGCTAGCTTTTTTTCAAAATAGAAAATAAATAAGTAAAAGTTCCAGCTGCACTGCAAATTATCCATTTAACAATCCAGTCCTGTATTCACTCCAAAACAATTCTGACAACTAAGTAATAGCCTGTAATTCAACTTTTTTTTCACCAAATGCTAGTTCAGCAACACAGGTGCCAATATTTTTGAAACAAGGCAGAATGTGCAGGATTACTTTATCATAATAAAATTACATTGGATTCAAATGAGACAAGTTCCTCTGCATTGCCTCCACACAACTTTCCCTCACCTACTGTAAGAGACAGGCTCATCTTTCTTTAAACTTGTTTTCACTGGAAAGCAACATAAGACTGGATCCTGGACTAAACGGCTTGTCCAGACGGATATGTTTGCAGTGTGAGATAAATTGATGAACAAAACCCGGTTGATCGATCAGCCCGAGCCCCCCCTCCCCCTTTAGCGCATCGGATGAGGCTGAAGTGAGCCCACCAGAGTTGAGTAGATAGCGGATGGGTCGGTGCTGTAGGGGAAGTAGTTGGCGTAGTTCTGGCTGGCGGCGGCCGCTGCGGCGTATGGAGAGCTGTACATCCCCAGCGCTGCGTTCAGCTCCGTCCGGCTGCTCGCCAGGAGCCGGTTCTCGTAGGACGGGCAGCAGAAGGAGGCGGCGGCGGCGGCGGCGGCAGCGGCTCTGGATGCCGCCTGTCCGGTCAAGAGACCGACCTGGATCGTATCGCGCATCGTCTTGGCGGTTTGCCGACACGAAAAACTGCGATGAGAATCGTGTCACATGGGTCATTGGCTGTTATGCTCTTATTCTTGTGCCTTGTTTGACTGTGGTGAGCACTGCAAAAGTTAGATCTGAGTTAGGAGCTCCGGAAGGTCAGTGTTGAGTCTGACTTTTTAAAACGAGTGGAAATGTGAGCTGGTTTCGTTTGTTTTTAGTTCAATCGTTCACTTTATACCGGCGTCTTATCTTTACTTGTGCCTGGCTTTTATTCAAGGTAAGTTCTCTTTTCGAGATTCCTGGACTGGGAAAAGTGCTTACATTGTATAGAGTATAATCCCAGATTCACTCTTATTTGTACTTTTTTAAATAAGACTTAATTTGGATTTTAGTCATTTCTCGTAAGGATTTTTTTCACGTCGGATTTCAGTGAAAAGACGCGTCCGTGGCTGTAATGTGCCTGCTCAGTTTATCCTCGATTAGATGTTTTACTTTCAGGAAGAAGATTAAGTATGTCAAGTAAATCCCCACTTATTCAATTTAAGATTAGAATGTTTAAAGTATAATTACTGAACGCTCCAATATTATGAGATAAGAGTGTGGGCATTTTTCCGTATGAAGTAACTTTGTCTTGTACTTGAACTTCCGATTGTCTTGCGCAATTATTTAGTGTTGAAATGTAATACCATTGATTCGGAGTTTTAAAGCTTCTTCAGCTGGACATTTTGTCTAACATCCCCCGTCTCAGTGATCTAATGAAGTTTCAAATGTGTACGTAGCGTCCAGCCCATTGCCTCGCGTGTGCATAGGTGCTTCATCTCGTTATTTGTCAGTCGAAAAACGTGGTTCATTTACTCAGTGTAATTTGGCACGGTGTTTATCGTTTTTGGTGTTCAACAGCAAAAAGCGCCCGCGAAAAACGTGTCCCGATATGTCAAAGCAGCACTGCATCTCATGATGTTTGCTTACGAGACTTGTCCGGCGTATAGCGAAATAAAAAGAAAAGTGTGAACAAAAAATATGCCAATTGCGTGTTGTGTGTGAGTGCGTGTGTACCGCTTAGTATAAATAAAAAGCGAAGTGGCTTACTGTGGTTGCATTGTAAAGGGTATCAGGAATTGCGCGACAGGAATGCTGCTTCTTTTGTTACCCTCGGCACTATTCTTTCCCCCTTGATCGATTGCCCATTTACTTAAACCACCGTCTTACCCCTTTCCACGATCGGCCTTTCGCTCATAATGTGCTTACTATAGGAGGGGACTTTAGGCTGGCTGCCGCTGCAGAACTTGTTTTTATATGACAGTGAAAGTAAATCGCCCGAAGGACCCGTAAGAAATGAATTTAGCGTCATAGTGCAAACAAACATTTGTTGTTGGTGTTGCTGAAGGGGCTAAAGGTAACGTAGACTTGCAGTTGGGACTTGCTTGTGTGCCGTTTATCTTGTCTCTATAGTTCTTCGTAGATCATCCATGCAAGGGTTCAGCGGTGTCGTCCTGT